TTTATATATAAAATCCTGCCTGAAACCCTGGTTTAGATGGACTGGTGAATTGACACCATATGCTTCGAGGGATGTGTGGTTTAAATGGACTGGGGAATTGACACCATATGCTTCGAGGGATGTGGTGGATCTCTACTTGATAGGCATAACATCTGCGAGGATTTCTGCCCCTTAGTTCCTTGTCCAAATGGAGACTCCAGCCAAGAAATGAGAAGAAGACAAAGACTTTAAAGGAAGCAATGAAGGAATTCGGGAAAAAAAAATCATCAAGTGTAAGGATGTTTCACTGGAAACGAAGGCCAAACTCATCCATACTGTCATATTTCTAATCACTCTATATGGGTGTGAAAGCTGGACAGTAAAGAAAAATGACAGGGAAAAATGATTTCTTTGAAACATGGTGCTGGAGGAGAGCTTTGCGGATACCCTGGACTGCTAGAAAGACAAGTGGGTCCTTGATCAAACGAAGCCTGAACAATCGCCGGAGGCAACAATGTTGAAACTGAGGCTGTCCTACTTAATGGCACATCATGAGAAGTCGGGACTCTTTGGAAAAGATAATCATGCTGGGAAAGGTGGAAGGCAGCAGGAAAAGAGGAAGACCACGTATGGGATAGATCCACTCCTTAAAGGAAACCACAGGTTTCAATTTGCAGTGGCAGCTGATGACAGGACATTTGGAAGACAGCTCCTTCATGAGGTCACGTCAGTCGGGAATGACTTGACAGCACATAACAAGTTGCTTAGGCAGAGCAGCAACAGAATTGTGCCCGATCCTGCAGAAATGGGGAATAATCGGGTGTCATAATTTGTGTCAGAAGACTGTGGGCTTCTTTTAAGCCTTGGTGTTCAGAACAAATTCTTGTACCCAGGAATTTCAGCTCTAGGTCTTTTGCCTTTCGCAACCATAGTGGATCTACCAGATACCTGAGAACTTCCCGTCGGCTCATCTCTGCTCCTCCAGCAAACTCTCTCCTGAACTTTCATGGGGGAAAACTGAAATGAATCAAGTGCCTATGTAGTTGTGTATGTGTATTTCCCTGAACCCTTCGGGGAGGACTATTGTGCCAGACATGCCTGTTCACAATTAGCCTCACAGCAACTCTGTGAATTTGCTATGCCAAAAAAGAAGAGTAGAGTAGAGAGTCACCACCGAAGTCTCAGTGTGCTCTTTATGGAATGGGGATTCAAGACTAGATTTCCTGACAGTCTCCAGCTCTTAACACCACACTTGCTCACAGTAGCTCTGTTCTTTTCATTTCAAATTACCGTATTTTTCGCACCATAAGATGCACTTTTTTCCCACAAAACCGGGGGTGGAAAGTCTGTGCGTCTTATGGAGCGAAGAAAACAGATTATATTTTCCTGTTTTCTTCTCCTAAAAAATTGGTGCGTCTTATGGAAAGGTGCGTCTTATGGAGCGAAAAATACGGTATTTCCTTACGAGCGGAGTTACACATTTCTGACTTTCCAAAATACCGACTCCTGGCATGAAACAAAGGGAGTTTAGTCGTCCAAGCGGACCATTGTGAAGTTTAGCAGCATCTCAAGTTAATGACCTTTTCAAAATGCAGGCCTGGTCACCCAGCACAATGCCATTGGATTTGCTTGTTGCCTCGTTTTTCCTCAGAGGTACTTGAGGCCTCTTCCTGATTATTGTGATGACAACATTGTGAGCTAGTATAGTAGGAAAGAGTGTTTGGTTAAAGGTTTCCCAAGTGGAGAATGGAACCGGGTGTCCTGTGTCTTCGTCTAGTTCTCTGATTGCTAATTGGTTCAACAAAATGCAGACATCTCTTATAGTACAGGATGTTATGGGATTGCTACTGGAGTGTAGATCAAATAGTATTTTAATAGCTTGCTCTACATGATGCCTTGCAACGTTGTATGTATGCTGCTGCTCCTAAAGGATTTAAACTCTAAAACTGAAACAAAAGAAGGAAAGAGAGTTAAAGTTTCCTGTACTGCACAGTTTGTGATTTACATATCTATGATCTTCATACATAAGTGGTCCATGAGCAGGCAGCCGTATAT